ATGAAAAGACAGAAGCAAGGCAGTCCCAAAATAAGCATTTTTACAGTACAAATCATGGCCAAACAGCAAGCAAAGATAGGGCAACAATGGCATGCAAAAATGGCCCTAAACATGAGATTATGATGCAACTGACAGCTGCTAACTCCAAATAGGTTAGGGCCCTTCAACAACATTGAAGAGGGGCCCAAAATAAGCACATTTATAGAACTATAAAAACCCTAAAAACAAACATAGATATGGCTAAGCTCTTATGCAAGAAAAAGGGCCAAAAGGTGGCCAAAGAGGCAAGTGGTATATGAAAAGCCCAAACTTAAAAATTCCCTTCTACAACATTGATGAGGGACCAAAAATAAGCATATTTACAGAACTGTAAAAAACCCAAAACAGTATACAAACATGCTAGAAATGCAATGCAAAATGAGGCTCAAAAAGTGGCTATAACATGAGGTATACAAAGCATTCATCAAACAAGCAAAGACCCTTAATAAAAAATGAATAATGGGCCAAAATAAGACTATTTTTAGTTCTGTAAAATGCCCAAAAATGGAAGCATAATGGGCTACCAAAGCATGCAAGAAAATGGCATTCAAGGAGGATATTGAAGCAAGTGCAAGATGGGGGGCTCAAACAGGGTTGAGCCCTTAAGAAAAAGTGAAAAAGAGCTCAAAATAAGGCCACTTTCAGTTATGGCCAGAGCTCAAAGAAAAAAGCATATATGGTTAAGAAATGTTGCAAAAATGAGCTCAAAAAGGGGGAAATAGGACTTACCTTTGAAGACAAGTCTTTGGTTGCTTCTTGGACCTTTAGCCTCTGAGGAGCCCTCCTTGTTTCTGGAAATGGAGTGGTGGTGGTGGTGCTTGGTGGTGATGAAGAAATGAGGACCAAGGAGAGGGAGCAAAGGAAGGGCCAAGATGGGAGCAAAAGGAGACAAGTTTTTCCCCCAAAAAATATCCCCGGATTGAGATATTTTCTGGGGGATACAGCTATACAGCTATAAAGTGTGCAGTGTAAAGAACATGGCAGGCCACCTTTTGGTGTTGTAGGTGGCCGGCCGGCCACCCCCCCTAGCCGGCCGGCTAGGGGTCAAAAGGGTCAAGTTCACTTAGTGGTCGGCCACCACAAAAAGGTGGCCTCCCAGGTCTCCTCTTCACAACCTTGTGGTTTGAATTTGGAAACTCTAAAACATGAGAGAGAACAAGCCATTTTGAGGAGGGGTTCAAAAGGTTCAAATGGAATTAATGGCCGGCCATAAACTCTTAGGGTCCTCCCATGTGTATACAACACAAATATGTGGTTCAAAGTTCAAGAAAGTGGCCCAAGGGTGTTCAACACTAGCTCGGAAGTGAGAAAAACGGGCGTCGGAGGGCGCCGGAGGAGCAAAAACTGGTTGTTGAAACAATTGCTGGCCTCCCACCCTTCGGTGACCTTCCCGGTGATGAAACAGAGGTACCTGCCAAAAATGAACGAAAATCGATGCAAAACGAATGCTCGGGGGCCGAAACACGCAGTTCGGGGTCCCAAAATTGGGCTGTTAAGCACCGAAAGTGGCATTCGGCCACGAAGTGGGTCTCTCAGACCCCAGTGTCCCTCAAAAGCGAGCAGAAAGGAAGTATGCCAAAAAATCAGAACAAACGGAGATGGTTAGGCGGTCCCGAACCGAG